AGTTGTACTTTTTTTAAGTAGATTAGGGGGTGCCAGATAATTTTACTTAGATGCCAGAACTCAAGTTACTTAGTAAATTTTAAAGATATAGCTGCGGGAAAATTTTTTCTTCTTGTTCCTATTTTGGTAAAGTGCTCTGCGGTAAGAGTTAGAGAATAAATATTTGCTTGATATACTCTCATTGTAATTATATCTACTTAATAAAAGGTCTCTAGCCAGAGAGGTCACTTTAATACTATATAAAAAAAAAAAAATGAAAATATGGTATAATATATACACATTCTTAACTTTGGTTGCATATCAAAATTAAAATCAATACATAAATAACAATCTGTTGTGTTAGAATTAAAATACTCTAATTTCTTATTTGGAATGAAATCAATAACTTTCTTGTAGTATTTATAAGCAAGTTCTTCATCTTTTTTGATACCAAGCACATCTGTATTATGCCAATTTGTCATCCAATATTTAGCATCATATTTATATTTGGTATTACTTTTACTTAATTCTGATAAGAGCTTCTGTACTTTAATTAATTTTCCTTTTATATAATATGCATCTGTCTTTTTAAGCAAATATAAATCTTTAAGATTTTTATCAATTTTTTATTTAATAGTATATAATATTTTTCTAAAATATAAATTGTCATCCAAAATCTGGCAGTAAATTTAAATATATAAATATCACCATTGTTTAAACGATAGTTATCTGGTCTAAATTTGATCAAATTAAATTTGACAAAAATAGCCCAAGCCTTCTCATATTCTTTTTTATTATGATAGCTTTCTGTATCTTTAAGTTGTAATATGAACAATCAAACATATCTAGTTAAGTTTTGAAAAACCAAATGAGTCAATAGTATAGAAAATAGAAAGTTGGAGTAATTTATAAATTAAAGCCAAAATTAAATTAAATAGAATCTTGTAGTTATTAAATATTTAAAATTATTATTCAATTTAAATTTACATTAAAAAACAATAAAATTTTCAACTTTACAATAGTAATAATAAAGTTTTGGAAGTAAGAATTTTATTGTATATGATTTAATTCAGAATTAAAAATCAATTAGATAACAATTGAATTTTAACAATTGGTAATATAAGAATACTGTGTCTATTTCAATAAAATAGTATAATAATAACAAAAGCTTTTTTTAGTATAATAGAAGAATATATAAAAAAGACTCTAAAGATATAATAAAAAATAAAATAGAAGATAATAAGTATTTTACACGTGTCTTTACTTCTCCTGAACTTGTTAATGTGAGTAGCCCTGCCTAGCAAAACTCTATTCTTAAAATTTGCATTAAAAAATATAGTCTAAAAAAAAAAAAAAATGATAATGAAATATTTCCAATTCTTCTAAAGCTTGCCGATTTGGGGACATATCCAGAAGCAGAATATTATTTGAGTCTTTTGTATTTAAATAAACAAGGAATTACAAAAGGAGAAACTATCCCAAACTTAGAATATGCTAAGCAATTTAATAAATGGTTGTAACAGGCTGCTAGAAACGAATATACTAAAGCAAAAGAATTGTGCAATAAATTATCAGATTAATTACCAGAAAATTTTCTAAGTAGATTATGTGAAAACAAAGATTTTATAGTATCTATTTTTGTAATATTTAATATAAATTGTTTAAGAGACTTTCGGATTCATATAGAGGTCAGTCCTATAAAAAATTATTCATTAGTCAATCAATTTAGTATTTATTTTTGTTTCTAAATTTGTAAAAATATATTAGATAAAATTTTTTTTGACAAAAATATGTCATTATCATAATTAAATTTAAAAGAGAAAATAGTCAATAAAAATAAATATATAATATAGTTGTCCTCTACATAATAATCACACCTAGAAAAATTAAAACAAACTATATATGACTTTCATAGTTCTTTTATCACACCACAGAGTAACAAGATCTATTAAAAAAATTCTTTTTTTCAAAATTTATCAATGAGATGACAATTTAGTAATTTATATTTTTATCCACACCAATTGTATGACATTAATACTAAATTCAGGTCAAGGATTTATTGTTAAATTCGCTCTTGACAAATAAAGATTTTTATAACACTCAAGAATCATTTATAAAAGTCCTATTTAAGGTAGCAACCTTTTATTAAGATAATTTAAAAACTTCCTTGGTTGAGAAGAGAAAATTTGCTGTTATAGATTTATACTTGGATTTATACTTTACAATCATTCTTTTAACATTAATTCTGGTGATAGTAGCTATTATTATCTTTGAATATAAACCAAAATTTATACCATTGGGATTTGGTCCTTATGATTATTAAATTCCTAATCAAAATGAGCAACAATTATTTATTTTGTAACTAATTTTTTACCAAATCTTGAATGCCTACCAATTACGAGGAATATTGCTAAATAACTCTTCAACTTACTTTTCTTAATTAAATGAAGCATGTTTAATTATACAATTTTATTTTTAAGGTACCAAAGAAATTTAACTTTTCATTTTGCTTTATTTTTCTTGTTATTTAATAATACCTTCATGTAAGCTCAGTATAAGTAAAGATCAAGAAGTACTAAAGTTCATATTTTAATTATTGCTTTCTGATACTAATATAATAATGTTTATACTTATGAAGAAATCTTGAAATAAGTTTACTCTTATTTAATTGTTTATAACTATTCAGCCTTTTTTCAATTGATTAAATTTTTTCATGGACCTGTGGGACAACGAACTTATATTTTTTAAATAAATATGCTAATAAATTCATTAACTATTTCTATAAAATTCATAAATAAAAGAAAATACAATTCAATTATATATAATTTATTAATTGTATATTGAAATTAAATTTAGTTAATATTAACAAATTAAATTAAATTGATTTAATATTCAGCAATGCAATTTTTTTTACTGTAAGAATCTCAATAAGAATTAAAAAAGCAAAGTATAGTATTTAAAATATAAACTAGCCTAGCTGGTGATTACATTAATGATCATCAACCAAAATTGCAATATATCAAAAATGAAACAAACTCAAATCAATTGCAAATTTAGTTACAATCTATTGGATAAATTTTTTGATATCACCAAAGTTGATCATAAACTAGTTCACAATTAACATTAAAGCCCCAAAGTTAATTTACGGCTATGAACTAATTCCGATTAACATTAAAGTCCAAAGTTTTTTTTTTTATTTTTTTTTTTATTTTTTTTTTTTATTATTAAGGCCTATATCGCGGCTGGCAATTGCCTTTATTGGTTATTATATTACAAGATGAGTGTACAACTAGCCACATGTACAACTTTTGGTTGTTTAATTTAAGTAGTCCGCCCGAAGGTTCTACACTAGCTGCCATTCCTGCACTCTACTAGGAGATTGCCTATTTAAACTCTCTGATCTATGTAATATCAAGCAAATTCCCGCCTAGGCTCCCGTATATCATCAATGATGCCGTCTAACCTGACATGTAACCTCCCTTTCTGTGCTAATATGTCAAGCTGTTACCCATTTCCAGAGCACGTCACCTGACTAGCAAGGCTTAGGGTGCCTCCCTATTACTAACCTACCTACTCTACGGTTCTATAACAGGGCTATGCCCTTGTAAAGTTCACCCAGACCCTGATACCTACTTCACAGCATATCCCCAGTACTTTAGTTCCCCTCCACTTGGTCCCAGACTACCAATCCAGATGGCCTGGAAAGACTGTGACCTGTCCCTAGTTCATCGGCTCTGCCTATGATCTTTTTCTCTAGTTACCTGGTAGCCTGGTTGGTGACCGGCTTTACCACAAACCGGTCGTGCTCCGTCCAGTTCTTTCGCTTCAGTTTTCATTTTTCTGGGTCTAGCCTTTACAGTAGTACCATCGAAGATCTGTGCTATCTCTCTACTTGGGTCTTCCCAAATGAGCTTCTGTCTCCCCAGTCCTACGGATTTATACGACCACTCGGACTTATCTTGTGTTTGCACCGCCCGAAGCTGGCTAGCATTCCTCCGGTTACCCGGATACCTCGTGACCTGCCAGTCATGCTGGTATGACCGTAGTTACAGGTATCCTATCCCAACTGATCGACAAGAGACGGTTGCCATAATATAGGTAATTATTTGAATTTTCATTTCATCGCCGATGGGTTTCGAACTCTTGACCTGCCACTTGGTGGGGGTGACAACCTAACCACTACACTAAGACGCCACACCCCTCTGAAGTAGATCTTAAAAGGGAGAAATGAAATGATTTGGGAGTAAGCAGGTTTCATTAGGTAAGTATATGTGAGCTTCTTCGTAATTGTTGTCTTTGTCTTTTTTGTTAAGGATAAAGATTTTAATATAGTAAGGTGAATAGTATAAAGAAAACTCCTGGAAAATATGGTATAAAAAAGTGTGAATTGTTTGTGGGTGATGAAGTAGAGGTAGTTTATAATGAAAGAGAAATTTATTATAGCATGTAAGGAGGTCTATAGTTCCAAGCGTTTCTGTTACTTGAGTGATTGTTTCCAGAGAGGAGTGGTTTAGTATATGGTAATCTTCACTGTTGTATTCTTCTTCTGATATTACTTCGTATGATGAGTATGATGAGTCAGAGAATTAATTATTGTTGGTGTTTAGTGTGGTATGTGAATCATAGGGATTTAGAGATATTGGAGATGATGCCACATAAGAATAGTCTTCTATGTCAATCACCGTATACCCAGCTTGCACAGTTCCGCAAGGGTTAGCAACAATCAGGTTAGACGTTAGAGAGTTGTTTAATTCTATCCCTTCCAGGTAGTCTAATATTTATTATATAATGTATAGAATTCTTTAGTTTGACTTTCATTTTCACCTTGAAAAAAGGAACAAAATGTCATGTCTGGGTAACGGATTGTAAAGGTCATGCAATATTTGAAAAACATATGAAAGTTGTAGTGCTACTTGTATGGTAGCAAAATTTAATAAAATACTGAGTAATGATTCGTACTGTGCTCATATAAGTGTTCATGATAAGCATGGTAATAAGAGTTTTCAATTCATTGAAAGACTTCACAAAAGTGAATGCTTCAAAGTTAGTGGGAATGATACTAAATTTAAATTCAAGAAAACAAAATGCCCTAAAAAGAAGCTTCCAGAATTTTGTGATAATCTTCAATGAAATAATAATTAGCGTTTTGCTATATGTTATTTTTTGTTAAATAATAGAAAGATAAAAAATTTGCAGTTACGATGTAATAATGTATAACATCAAATTTTGCTATATAAAATAAAATTTGGTAGTTCTACCAATTTGATAATGTTTTTTTTTTATCCTTCACCATTTTATAAAACAAAATGCTTTGTCAAACAAGAAATTTATTATAATATAACTAGAGGTGGGCAAAATGCATATTTTGACCATACTATATGTATTATACAAAGATGCACATGATAAGTATGATACACATAATACACGTGGTAATTAATATTTATGTAATTAGAATCGCTCTTAAGACTAATATTGCGAATATCAAAAAACTTTATTTAGATTATACTGTATTACATAAAATAGCTATCTTGATATATATCAGCATTAATTTAATATTTAAATACATATTACATGCAAGAATAAAAAAATTTTATTCATCTTTACTCTCTACTTTATTATCTGCTTTGTTATTACTTTCTTTAATACTTGAACAATTTTCAAACTCATCACTTGTATCTTTAGTTAAAAGTTTCTCATATGAGTCATTTGAGTCATTATCTGTTAGATCTAGTAGTTCAAAATTCTTTTGATAATGTGTTGGTCTATTATTAAGTCATGCTACTGCTTGTGCAATATCTAAAGATTTATACCATTGTTATAGAACATGTTAACATTATAGAACATATTAGAGATTTTATTTTTATTAGATCCAAAAGATTATAATGATTGAAACAAGCTACAATACAAGACAACCAGACTATCAGTTAGCTAGATAATCAAGCAATAGATTTACTATAATATCTTTTATATCTTTTATACCTTTTGTACTTTTCATACCTTTTGTACCTTTCATACCTTTTGTACTTTTAATACCTTTTGTATTTTTCATACTTTTTGTACCTTTTATACCTTTTATATCTTTTGTACCTTTTGTATCTTTTATACCTTTTATATATTTAGTACTTTTTATATCTTTTATACATGTTATAAAAGCTATATAAACCCTAGCTTTTACCCTCTCTTGAACTAGAGAATTCATTCTTTGCAATGTTCTAAAATATTAGAATTCTATAGAAATAGATACCTATAAATAGCTTAGTATCTAAGCATTGTATTATAAATAAATAAACATATCTTTGCCTTAAAGTAAACTATGTCTCTATGCTTCTAATGAATATACCAAACTACTCTAGTGAGGAAATATTTCATTTCTATACTGCTTTATATCTCACCCTGTTGTTTTAGAGATCCTTGTTGCTGTATGCTATGTTGTAAGTGATAAATTAAGAAAGCTATCCCACTTGTAACGCCATAAACAAGTTAGTTTGTAATTGCTATATATATATTCTAGCTTAAACAACCTTTCATTAGTTAGTTGTGCTCTTTTTTTTTTCTTGAATATATGAGAATGCAGACAAGTTTCATTCAGAAGCTGCTGATAATAATAGAATTAAAAACACTCTAGTAGCAACTTTACATAATTCAGGTGCTGAAATTTCAAAATTTTTTCTTTACTAAGCAAAAGGATTAACATGTTCAACTGTACTCCATGCCAATTAAAGATCAAATATACCTATTTTTATTTTGTACTTAGTTAGTTGCTGTCAAATAATATTTGTAATATTAATGCCATATTATTTGTAGTAAACCTTTTTCTATAATATTTCAAATCTAAGAGCTATGCAAGTACTATAACAGGATAGTATATTTTTTTCATTAACTTTCTAATATTGTTTAATTTGATTATTCATTTCTAAAATAAAAATAGTTCAAAATTTCAAATTAATAATATGTATAAGTATAGGCAACAGATATACATACCCCCAATTTACTAATCATACCTCCTGCAAAATTAAAGTTTTTTTAAACTTTGCATAAAGATATCTCGATATCTGCCAAGTCAAATGCAATGAATTTTTTTATTTGTATTCTACAGATTCGTAGAATTCAAATAAAAAAAATTAATCAAATTTGACTTGGTGGTTGTTGAGATACCTTTGCACAAAGTTGAAAAAAATTTTTGGTGCAGCTTTATTTTTTAGATATTTTGAGTTTTCTTAACTTTGAGCGAAGACATCTCGACAACCACCAAGTTGAATTTGATAAACTTTTTTTATTTGAATTCTATGAATCTGTAGAATGCAAATAAAAAAATTCATCAAATTTAACTTGATGGGTGTCAAGATATCTTTGCTCAAAGTTTTAAAAAAACTCAAAACGTCTATCAAAATAAAGCTGCGCCAAAATTTTTTCATCTTTGTGCAAAGATATCTTGACAACCACCATGTCAATTTTGATGAATTTTTTTTTTATTTGAATTTTACTAATCTGTAGAATACAAATAAAAAAAATATTATCAAATTTGACTTGATGGGTATCGAGATATCATCATTTAAATTTTTTAAAAAAACTCAAAACGTCTATTAAAATTTAAACTTTGAGCAAAGATATCTCGACACCCACCAAGCCAAATTTGATAAATTTTTTTTTATTTACATTCTACAGATTAGTAGAATTCAAGTAAAAAAAAATTTATCGAATTTGACCTTGTGGTTGTCAAAATATCTTCGCACAAAGATAAGAGAAAATTTGGCACAGCTTTATTTTGATAGATATTTTGAGTTTTTTTAAAACTTTAAGCGAAGATATCTTGACACCCATCAAGTCAAATTCGATGAATTTTTTTTATTTGCATTCTACAGATTCGTAGAATTCAAATAAAAAAAAGTTTATCAAATTTGACTTGGTGGTTGTCGAGATGCCTTCGCTCAAAGTTAAAAAAAACTCAAAATGTCTAAAAAATAAAGCTGCACCAAAATTTTTCTCAACTTTGTGTGAAGATATCTTGACAACTACCAAGTCAAATTCAATGAATTTTTTTTATTTGAATTCTACGAATCTGTAGAATATAAATAAAAAAATTCATTGCATTTGATTTGGTAGATGTCGAGATATCTTCATGCAAAGTTTAAAAAAAACTTTAATTTGCAGGGAGGTATGATTAGTAAATTGGGGGTATGTATATCTGTCACCTAAGTATATTATCAAATTTAATATAAAAAAATTACTATCTGACTCTAATAATTTATTATGTTAATTGTAAAATAATGCAAGCCATGGAGTATTTGATTCAAATAAAGAAATCCCAATAACTAATCTGTTTAAAATTGTTAGAAGACTTTTAATATTTTTCCAAAATTATTTATTATTGATCATTTTGTAAATTAATTCAGGTACTTTATCAGATTTATTGTATACTATTTTCATAATAGTTAATTTAAGTGCTAGTTAGTTTTGTAGAACATAATTTAGATATGTTGCCAAAGATCTTATCTTGTTTTGACTAGAAGTTTTAGGAATATTTAGCAATTATAAGTTGCTAATTGATGTCAATGTAGAATAGTAATTGGAATATGATGTGATCAAAAATACAAAATGATCTCTTTAGTATTTTTTAAGTTATTAGCTCACTATGATAATTTTAAAATATTACTAGTTAAAATATTCAAACTATATACAACACAGCCTAGAAAAAAAATTCTAGAATATTTTATTTCTAATAAACACTATGCCTTTTTTATTACAAAGGTGTTATCAGTAATTAAGGCTAAAATTTTTAATATACCAATTTTAACAATCACTTTTTCCAAATCTTCAACAATTATTTTAGCATTTTGCTATATTTCACTAGTTGGATGTGCAGTAAAAAAAACTGGATCAGGTATTGTTAAAATATAGTTTGTCCAATATTGTTGTATTAAATTAGACCACTCATTGGATATAAGACACATATTTACACTTTTATTAATTAAAGCTTCAATATTATTTTTAGTTTTATTGAAAGCATGATCTAATGACTTTGTAGAAAGTTTTTTTTGGCTAGGAAGCCTAAAAGTTGGGTTTACTTGTTGTCACAAATTCTTAATAGGTTTTATTTCAGATAGTGACAAAAAAAGACTATAGTGAAATACAGATTTTGCAAATTCCAATTTAAGAGAATCTTGATCTTTTTTTAAAATACAATTAACAGCTAATGATGTTGAATGAGTTGTACTTATTGATGTTTTATTGTCACTTTTTTCATATAAACTTCTAAAATAATTTTTTTTTATTAAAGTTACTTTATGATGAATATGCAAATTATATTTCTACAAAATATGTTACAAAATTATAAATTTATAGCTTTTATTTCTGTAAATAAAATCGTTAATCAGAATCAGAAATCATTGATTTATTATTATTATTATTTTTGATTTGCAAATTTCACATATTTTTTGTAAACCACAATAACTGATTAGTTGATTAGTTGAGCTTATCCAACTATTAATTGATTTTTTAAAATGCAATCAATTAACTAATCGATTACAACAATTTTTATTCCAATTTGGATCACTAAATAGTAGATGAAGTTGATCTAATGAATTTTTAGGGGATTCTAACATGCATAAAAGATAAAAGTATAATGTATTGTCTTTCTTGTATAATAAAGATGTCTGAGTGATTTTTTATTGTATCATATTTTTTGAACTGCATTAATTATTATTGTATTACATATTGTTTACTGGACTACTGTGTACTTCTTGATCTTTATTATCGATCTTTACTCGCTTGGCTAATATATATAATGACTGGAGTATCATACCAAATACTACCACTGATAATGTATTCATGCAGATAAACTAGCTTATTCACTAAAAATAATTTAAAGAGATATTAGGAACCAAAGTTTATTCACTAAGAATCTAAGTTCTAGTTTATTCACTAAAAATAATCCAAAGAGATATTAGGAACCAAAGTTTATTTACTAAGAATCTAAGTTCTGGCATTTTCCCTATTTGGATCAATGCTTTATATATTATTATTAATTGCTAATGATTACTACACTGTTCATGCAATCACTATTTTAGACTTTTAATTAAATTATGATTACCTGATATATTATATATTAATTAGATCACGACATTCGATCACCATGTACTCGATCACTAGTCACATAAATATTGTGCAGCACCAACTTCCCACTTTGAACCTAGGCATTGCACAAAAAATGTGCAGCAGATTCTCGATTTTGATTGGCTAAGAATGACAATCAAAAAATTAGTTGTAACTACTTATAACTTTACTAGTGAAATCACAGCCACCTATTAAGTGAAAATTATTCCTGGGCCAATTTTATTACAATTCAGACTTATTTTTAAAAGAGTTTTATAATTTACCGCCATGGTGATGTATCACCACCCCTGATCAACCAATTAGAATGCAGAATTAGGTATAATGTAAAATCAAAGTGATTATGATTTTTCTTCAAAAATCGTCTATAGCACAAAATTTTGTCTATAAAACCATCTCTCATGCTCTAACAAAAAAAATTTCTCTCAAAATTTTGGGTTAGAACCTCTTTGCTAAAGTGCTCTACTTTAACACTAACCCTAACCTAACCCTACTCTCACCCCAATCCTAAACTAACGAATTATTTTTATTGTTTTGATTTCATGTTACACACAATCTTATAGGGTGCGATACATCGCATATGCAATAAAATATAAAATTCTTTAAAAATTTCTATTTTGTAATGAAAAAATTAAAAAGTAAATTCTGGCCGGAAATTAGTAAACAATTATGTAATGCAGGCCAAAATTTTGAAGATCTCGGCCTTTAGCCAATCAAAATCGTGGATCTGCCGTGCGGCCGGTTACACAAACATTGCCCAATAAAATTAGCTGTACATAATGTAGATCATCACATAAATTAAATTTTTTTTACAACTTCAAAGATATCTCAACAATTGTAGAATAAAATTTGATGAGTTTTTTTTTATTTTGATTCAACAAGTATGTGAAATCAAAATAAAAAAATTCATCGAATTTGGTTTGATATTTGTTGAGATAGCTTCGTTTAAAGTTTAAAAAATTCCATTACAACCCAAATTCTATGAATTTTTTAATTTTGATTATTTTGAATATGCAGAACAAACCAAAAAATTTCATGAAATTTGGTTTGGTGGTTGTCGAGATACTTCGTTTAAAATTTTAAAAAATTTTACTGCGCTTAATTTAATTGACGGTTTAATTTATTGACTATCTTTAAACAAAGATATCTCAACAACCACCAAACCAAATTCGATGAATCTTTTTTTATTTTAATTCTATAAATATGTAGTATAAAAACAAAAAAAAATTTTCATTGAATTTGCTTTGGTGATTGCCGAGATATCTTTGTTTAAATTTTAAAAAAATTCTATTACAGCTTAAAATTTAATAGATGGTTGACTGTCTTTAAACGAAGATATCTCAACAACTACCAAACCAAATTCGATGAACCTTTTTTATTTTGATTCTACAAATATTTAGAATAAAAACAAAAAAATTTCACTGAATTTGCTTTGGTGGTTGCCGAGATATCTTTGTTTAAATTTTAAAAAATTTCTACTACGGTTTAAAATTTAATAGGCGGTTTAATTTATTGACAAACTTTAATCGAGGATATTTCACCAATCACCAAACCAAACGCAACGAATTTTTTTATTTTTTTTTATCCTACATGTTTGTAGAATCAAAATAAAAAAAGTTTCATCGAATTTGGTTTAGTGGTAGTCGAGATATCTTCGTTTAAATTTAGTCGATAATTAAACCGTCTATTAAATTTTAAACCGTAGTAGAATTTTTTAAAATTTAAACAAAGATATCTCGGCAACTACCAAAGCAAATTCAGTGAAATTTTTTTTTTTTATTCTACATATTTGTAGAATCAAAGTAAAAAAAGATTCATCGAATTTGGTTTGGTGGTTGTTGAGATATCTTCGTTTAAAGATAGTCAATAAATTAAACCGTCTATTAAATTTTATGCCGCAGTAAAATTTTTTAAAATTTAAACCAAACAAAACTTCATGAAATTATTTTGGTTTTTCTGCATATTTAAAATAATCAAAAATAAAAAAATTCATAGAATTTGGGTAGGTAGTTACCGAAATATCTTCGTTTAAAGTTTACAATAAATTAAGCCGTCTATTAAAATTCAAACTTTAAACGAAGCTATCTCGACAAATATCAAACCAAATTCGATGGTTTTTTTTATTTTGATTTCATATTCTTTTGAATCAAAATAAATAAACTGATCAAATTTTGTTTTACGGTTGTCGAGATATCTTTGAAGTTGTAATGTAAATTTTTCGGTTTGCATTACCCGCCGACCCACTTTCATTTTTCAAATTTTCGATTTTTTTTTTTTTAGGTTCCAATTGTGCCAATTGTTCTATTTTTGCCATTTAATTTCCCCCCATAAATTATTCCGGTATCGCCCGGTAGAGACCTTATTTTTCCGGAATTGTCCGATAGAACTGATAAAAAAAATTCGATTGCCGACTCAATTTTCTGATTCCATGTTATGTAAAGCGAAAAATTAACTTTGCGTGACCTTAAATGTCTATTATTTACTGTAGAATAAAAAAAAAAAAAAAAAAAAAAAATCCGACCGCTGACCGTTGATTCTGAAATCCATGTAATGCAAAACGAAAAATTAACTTTGCGTGGCCTTAATGGTGACAATATTATTATTCGAGCAACTCAGAGAAATTTCGCTTGAGTTTCGCTAGATAAATAATCTTCACTATTCATTATTACGATTATGAATAAGTAATGTAGAAAATTGTTTTTTTTTTTTTTTTGCACTCAATATGTTATTTATTCATTTCAATATTAATGCATCATCATTATTAATCGAAGTATCAGATAGTTTAATAGATATCCAAGAAAATTTATAAAGTTATATGTTACGTATAAAATATATCATTTAATAATGCCTATTAATCGAAGTATCGGATAGTTTAACATTTGAACGGATCCAAGCTACATGTAAAAAAAACAAACCAAAAATATAATTTATCAAAGAACATAAAATTGATAACAATAAAAGTTTCTAAACGTTCATAAATGTATACATATTATTATGTGTTGTAATATTTGTGCGAAATATGGATCACGGCAGATTCTCGATTTTGATTGGCTAACGATCAAATTTTAATCAGCCAGAGTGATGATCTACGAAATTGCAGCAACATATTTTTTATTGCGGTACTTGACGTATGTAGTCATCACCCGAACTTCCGGGGGCGATTACTCGTAATTTTACTAATAAAACACAGTCGCCCATTAAAGTGAAATTGTTCTTGAGCCAATTTTACCATAATGCGAGCCTATTTCTATTTTTGTAAATAAAAAATCAAAAAGTTAATTCCGGCCGGAAATTAGTAAACAATTATGTAACGCGGGCCAAAATTTTGAAGATCCTCAATCAAAATCGTGACAATTTTGTTGCGGACACATTTCGGGTTGCCCCTAATTTTCATTGGACGAATCCCATTGGACCATTTAATGCGCCGCAATTGAAATTATTTCTCAAATATTACAGTATTATTTTCGTAATGATTAAATTTTTTTTTTAAATACTTCTTTTCGTTGTATAATACTAATGTTTTGCTCTTTAGAGTTTTATCATTTCGAATTTTTTAGTAAATAATTTTGTGTTAACGTTGAATAATTTTTGTCAATTTTATCGAATATATCGTGTAAATTTTTTTAATTAAAATAAACATACCTACTTTAAGTCATACTACTATACGAAAATTCGAAAACAAAATAATTATTAATTTTTTTCATTTTTGTATTAGCAGTAACATTTATTTTTAGTATTACTAATTGGAATATTTTTATTTTTTGTTTTTTTTTTTAAAAAAATAAAAGAGTACAAGTGATTATATATTCAAATTTCTATATTCAAAAATGGAGTCATATGTTAAATGATAAATTTTCTTCTCAAAATTTGGGTCACTTGTATAAACGATTTACAGAATTAATAAAAATCAAAATAATATTTTATTTATTTCTATAATTGACATATCCTTGATAAGAATTCGATGGATTGGATTTCTTGATGAACCGCTTCAAGCTATAATGTAATAAAACAATATGAATTAGAGAAATTCTATTATCTTAGGGTTTGTAATTGTCAAATAATTTATATTGTTGATTATTTTCGAACTTGTAATTTTCAAGTGAATCCGAATAATTTATCAAATTATTTGTTTATCTACCTATTAATCTATTTTAATTAATTATCAATTATATTTCAGATACTGTATATAGTGTAAAATGGGATAAATCAATTTCAGACTTTTGTTTTATTAAGAAATCAGGAGTCAATTTTATACACTCGTCTTCGATAAACTACAGGTTAAATATAAATCAAAATAATCAGTCATAACTCTATCACTGTATGGTGCCTAGTCGTCACATATTATAACTTATGTAAACGTTGTGATTTTCATAATATTAATGATGTAACAATTAAGCACCACACAGTGAAAAGGTACATTACATGTGCCCATCCTAGTAATAAAAGACGCTTAATTATCAAATCTCAGTGATTACTTTCTTAATTATACCATTGTTAAAGAAACGATTAAAATATCTTAAATAAACATTTAATTTCAAAAATATAAAGTACCAGACAAATTACTGAGCTATTTTGATCCACACTCTTATTTTACTGTATACCGTTTTTATATATCATTGATTTGCAATTTAGGATAACCTTAAAAGTACATCACATTTTCTTTTTCTTGACGAATAAGTTATAAAGTCCGAATATCCGAATCTCTTTTTGACAAATAAGTTATAAAGTCCGAATAATCTGAACCTTTTCTTATCAATCCATGTTATTATGAAAATCACAAGGTATGATTTTACACAAATGGAAATAAACTTTCCAAGGGGAGATCATACCACGCAAATCCATTTATCCAAATTAATGACATATTGTATTATGCCGTGTCTTAAAGCACATTCGGCAAAATTTAGGTCCCGTAAATTGGATCTTCTTGAATGCAGTAAGTAGTAATTTCAGGCAAGTACGTACATACGTACTACTTCAGATATGTACGCATCTTAACAGTTAAGTTTCAACTTCAGGGATGCACGACATAACACAATGATCGTGACTTGGTCATAGAATGATAAGTCTAAACTAGGTATATAAGTAATTATTTTCATTAACTAAATATGGGGCGAACAAGATGGCATTGATTTTCGTTGTAAAGATTCCAAACAATAATAAATAAAACGAGGTTTCTAAATTTACGAAAAAAACAATTCTGTCAATTTTCCATTAATTTGTTAAAAAAAAATTTAAATCCCATAATTTATTAAAAAAAAATCAAAAACCATAATTTGTTAAAAAAAAACAATTAAAATGTCGCTCGAAAAAGGTACAGATGACGGACACGTTATGCAGCCAAGGGAAGTTGGTAATTCCAGTCCATTAGGTAAATTATTTTCCATGAGACTTTATTTTCAATTTTTAGTTTTTTGTTCTAATTTTTATACATTATATATATCGTTAGGATTATTTGCATTCGGATCTACTACTTTCATGTATGCAATGTATCTTCTTCAAGTAGGAAACATAACAAATAATCATGCAGGACTTGGAGCCGCATTATTTTACGGCGGTGTTCTCCAAATACTTGGTGGAATGTGGGAAATATATTCTGGAAAAACATTTGCTGCTACGGTTTCTTGTTCTTATGGTATCTTGAAATTTTTTTTAAAAAGTCACTTGATGTGCGCTTGTTACTGTATTATTTTGAAATTTTGAACATTCATTAATAAGTAATCTACCAATTTTTTTTTCATTGTTAGGTGCTTTTTGGATGTCTTTTGGTTTTATTTTTCTGCCAAGTAGCGGGATTGTTGATTCATATAATGGTGACCAAGTGATGTTTGGAAAAGCACTTGGTGTCTATCTTGTTGCTTGGACTGTTTGTTAGTATCTATTTAATTTGGATAAAATGCAGTATTGTATTTTCACGAATCGGACCTGAAGTAAGGGCCGTCATATGCATTCATTTACATAATAAGTAATAGAGAACACGATAATCATGTGTACCATATGATTACGCTCCCTCAGGGACCGACTCATGTTTTGCTTGGCCTCTAACCATTAGCGTAGTGCTTGACGGATAATCTAGATACAGTAGACCCTCTCAAAATCGATCCTGTCAAAACCGATAAAAAATTGGTCTACCAAGTTCATTCCCGTTATATAAATCTAATGGTTTGTTATGTCTTCAAATCCGATACCTCTCAAAACTGATACAAAGCCTGTCTGTCCACCGTGCATACCGATTCTGAGAGGGTCGACTGTATACAAATCTATAGTATACATATCGATATGGCCCTTTAAATCAGCTAATTTTTATTGGTTAATTTAGATGTGGCAATTATTTACTGTTACACTCCTGCAATTCCAAGATACGTATTTATTCATAATCTAGATATCTTTATCCGGTTCTAAGCACTACATTAGCAAAGTTACTCATATATACTGCATTTGATCCTTTTAGCTTTATGATATTTTATAATTTATTTACTAAAAGCTTGACTTTTTTCAAAATTGTAGACTCATTTTTCATGTTAATTGCTTCCCTAAAAACTACATACATCTCCACTTTAACCTTCTTTTGTGTGGTACTTGAATTTATTTCTCTCGATATTGCTAACTTTACAGGTATTGAGACTTTCTCACGCATTGGAGGAGGTCTTGGAGGTAAATGTTTTGTATATATTGTATTATTCAAATTTATTTAAAACCAATTTGTATTATTCAATAATTTTTCTTTTTATAGTTCTTGTAGCATGTGGTGCATGGTACATGGGGTTGGCTCAATTGCTTACAAAGGAACTCACGTACTTCACTTTACCATCCTTCTCAAGTGCTCCTGAATAAACTGTTATATATATATATAATTAAAATAGCGAGAATCCTAAATTTGTTTACTACCAATATCTTATCGACATCTTATCAACATCTTATCAACATTTTTTAAAGCTTTGTATCATAATAATTGTTTATAATTTTATCAATAATTTTATTATTAAATAAAAAACAAAAACTTTATATAGTAATCAAAATGTTTGATTCTCAAATTTTGATTTGAGAATTAATTAGGGGTGGCAAATGTTTTCTTATTACGCAATTGAAACAGGTGGTGGTGATTATTACCTCTATATATTAGATCCAGATTTAACTATTTGTACATTAATCATCACCTATTTTAAACTGGTGAAAAATGTTTTACGTAATTTTTATTTTTTTTACTATCCCTAGAATCGATTAGCGTTTCTAAATATGTAGATACAGTAATTCAATTGCATAGAAAAATACGCATAAATGATCAAGATTAGTATTGCGACTTAATGGGTGAGTGACGTATAATATATGCGTAATTGCCTTAATAATCTTAAGTAATGAAAGCTAAACTTTTTACAAACATAAATATTATAATTAGGATTTGCTTATAATGCCAATTGTGAGATCTAAAATGACATTTGTCAAGAAATAGTTGCCAGGTAAAATAATATTGTCGGGGAAATAGCTGTCGGAAAGATGGCGTTTTGGAAATCAGATCTCAGGAAAACATATAAATAATTATATTTATATTAATTAATATTTATAGATTAAGCTTTAAATAAAATAAATCAATTTAAATCTACTTAAAGGGTTTAAATCATATTTAGGATAGGTTAGTATATTTTTAAATTTTTAAATTTTTAAATTTTCTGAACTTAGAATGTGTAATTCATTCCATTTTTGGTTTTAATACGAAGCAACCTTATGAATTGCTATCATGTATACTTCAAATTATAAATAATCTTTATTATCAAAAATTAAATTAACTTGCATAAAAAAAAAAAACAATGAAAAGTGAGTAACTCAAATATTTTAATTGACAATAAGAACATTATTCTAAAACAACATGAATAAGAAATTAAATAAATTTTTTTTGCACAATAATTAGATGGCAATTTCTTTTGCTATAGCGAGGTATATTATTTTATAATATTTTTTATTTCATTATTTTAAGTTATATGAAATAAGAAATTTTTTTAAGTAGCAATTTACAAATATATAATACTAAAGTGTTATTGTTATTTGCGTAAAAAACCATAAACTGTAATGCTGTAATGCAATAATGCCATATTGCTGAAATACCACAATGAAAGATTGATGAAGGTGCACAACAAAAAATATTATAACAATATAAACTAACGTACAATTTTTTATTGCTTATCTGTTATTTTAAATTTGAATAAATAATTGATTAACGATAAATATTTTTGATCGGTTATAACTTGCTATTTGGCCTAACCGACTGCGGTTAATCGTTTATGATCGACTAACCGAAAATAACCGACCGGTAGTCGACCGAACCCAACCCTTCATGGAAGGACATTCGTCTGATTGGCTAATGTAAATCAATTACCTGGGTAACTTATTTATACACTTTACTTTTTGAGAAAGTAAATAGTGTTTGTAGTCGAATTCGCATAGTTGATTTTTATCGACTTAGCCGACTTAGTCAGCCAATTTTCCAAAAAATCGACTTAGTCGGTTTATGTTAGATTATATTAAAGTACCTCTCTTGGTACATAGTACGTACGTACATATTAAGAGTGGGAGGATAAATTCCGAGGTAAGTCGATAAATAAGGATCGACTACAAACACTAATTAAAAATACATTTTTTTTCTACCATTAGCTTCGCAAGAGCGTGAATATTCACTGTGCAAAATAATCGGAAAATAATTGGGATATAAAAGAACTTCACTTAGAAGACGAAATATGCCTACCGCAATGTTTTTCGTCCAAAACTACTTTATTGCGCTATATTTAAATAGCTTATTATTCCAACCGTTTAATTTGAATAGGTACAAGCTATTTAATAGTAAAAGGCTGTTAAATTGGTTGGTTTTTGTATGTGTTTGGGTTTGTCAATAGTTAAAGTTTTGGTTTATATCTTGTACGTAGATTCTTTAATGAGGTTGGGTTTATTTATTAGTAATAAATATCACATTTATCCCATTCAACACGTGTCTATCTATTCTTTAAAATATAAATAATAAATCGTTTTACGCATATTTATTAGTTTGTAATATGAAATCTCTTCCTCAATAATGATAGTATTGAAAATGATATTTTAAAAATCGTGCAATGTTATTGGCTAATTATCACGGGCGATCACGGGGAGATCTACAAAAACAAACCAATCAACCGAATGTCCTTCAATGAACCCAACCCTATACATGGCATTTTGATTGGCTAAATTTGCAGCTTCTGCGCATAATCTAATTCGCACGTGAATTTCTTTTAACAGGCAAAGGGAAAATCTTCGGACACAACTTACATAGCATCACTTAACAAAGATAGTAGCTAGACAAATTTGCTGGTAGTGACAACTGAATGTTAACCAATCGTTTAAAAGAAATTTTTACCATTGCGGGTTTTCAGAATTAACTTATTTCGAAAATAAGTGAGTTTAAAAACTATATTAGGGTGATTCAAAATTAATAGAGGGTTTCAAAGTTAACAAATAAGTGGCACATTTTGAAATTAAATGAGTTTGAAAAATCTTATTAAAATCTTATTTGTTTTCCAATAATTTAAAAATAAGGTGAAATAATTTACTACTTTTCAAAAGATAATGATAAATAGTTTCATATTGGCAAATTTGCAGAATGGATCTAAATTAGGGTCCCCAGATTTAACAATTGCAGAATGCATATTAGCTGAAATTTTGGGGTCAGCTTTACAATAGCATTGTTAAAGTATATGAACCTTAATTTAGGTCAATTCCGCAAATTCGTGCTAATAATTTATTTGCATATTGATTATTAGTGATAAATATCAAATTACTACATTTTACACGTGTTTATATATTTCTAAATATGTGTTAAATTCTTTTTTACGTCATTTATTAGCTGCTTAAGGCTAAAGTTCTTTAATACGATCATCGACATCCTTATTTTCACTTTTCTATCCTTAAGTTGTTTTTGGAGGTATCATGTCTGAAGTTGCAATGTCAGACATCTAAAGCTTACTTATCTAAATTTAACTAATGTATCAATGTCTAATTTCAGTTAAATGCAACTTCAAGCATTTGATGTCGAAACTCCAGGCACGGTATTATAACTGATTTTTTTGATCCATTTGCTTACATCACAATATATAGCTTTACTCCTCTATATTCTAATCCACTTGTCCATCTTGTGTTATCTTTAGAAAGCAGCACCTTCATATTCTATCTAACCAGCTGTAAAATCTATCATCGTTATTATAAATATTACCTAATCTATTAGCCCTATAAAAAAAGTCGATCCGTGATTTATACTCCGTGTTTTTTCCGTAAATGTTGCATATTCGCGGAATTTATAACCTTAAATCATGAGATTATTTGGCTTGTTTGGATTTTATTGATCATGTTGCAGATTCACGGAGTTTTCACAAAATATATGGAATAATAATAGAAATATTCGAATAAAATTTCTTACAGGGTAGAAGGAATTCATATGATTGTGTCTTCACGAGTTAAGGCTGAAATTCTTTAATACGATCATTGACATTTCTAATTCCACTTATCCATACTTATGTTGTTTTGAGGTATTTGTTTGTCATACCCAAAAGTTTCAATATTAAGCGCCTAAAGTTTACTTACCTAAATTTATCTACTAATATATCAAGATTTAATTTCAGTCAAGTGCAACTTCATGCGTCTGATGTTACAACATCAGGCATGACATTATCACTGAGTTTTTGGTTATAAAAAATTATTTACTTACATCTCCACAGCATCCTAATTTTACTTGCAAAAGAACCTTTGCCAAGAACACCAGAAAGTGTATTTTTTTTCGAATCCCAAGAATATAGAGAATCTTTATCCTGTTAAAATGAAAGATTTGCCTATCTTGTGTTGCCTTCAGAGGTAAATTCAGATAAATAAATATTAGTGTCAGATGTTGCAACTTCAAGTATAAGAAAACCAAATACCAGATGTCAATAATTGTATTAAAGAATCTCTTTAAGCTACAACTTATAAAAGCATAATTATATGGATTACTTCTAATAGATTAAATAACATTTAGAAAAGTAGTAATAGATTTTTAATAACTGGTTAAATGAAATATAAAGACACGACTCTTTAATATAAATCTAATTTCAATCAAGTGTACAATTTTTTGATTAAAAGAAATTCATTTAGTTACTTATTTATAATATGTGTAATTACTAAATATATACCAAACTTTATAGCAAAAATTTACTAAAAATCAAGACAAACATCCAAAGTTAGGCATATAAAAAAATTTTTAGTTTTTATAGCATCAACTAAAATTTATGACCTGGCCACCCAGCTTTTTTTTTATATATGTAAATTTTTATATAATTTTGTTGCAAATAAACTCAATCTTAACTACCTTATTATGTGTCAAGTAAGTATACAATTGAAATTTTTATAGAAAACTTACAATAAAAATCTTGGTAATTCCACTACAAACTAACTCACTTTTTCTCAATAGAAATTATGATAATTCTAATCAAATCAACCAACTCTTTATTACATGAGGATGTTGCAGTAGAAAGGGCCCAAACTCCCTAAAAATCAAACTTGAGTTTTTTCAAGATTCTGATTAATCTTGAGGTGGGCTATACTTTTCAATTATTGGTTTGCATAATAAAAAATCAAGATATTTTAAAAAACTTTTTAGAAGACTTGTACATCACGAGATTACCCGATATAGCCAGCCAATCAAATCGCATAATTTTTTGATTAACCTGGATTAGCCTGAAAAAGTAAACATAATTTTCTCAAGATTATATATTTCCGAGTTTCGGCCCTTTCTACTGCAACAGCCCCAAATAACAATTATGATAATCCAAGCTTATCTCTTTGGTTTTGTTGAATTGATGAATTTTGCAAATTTTTTTTTTAATTCTAATATGGACTCAACTTTACTATATAAAATTACAAAAATTCAAATAACTAACCTTAACCACATATCGAAAAAGCGAGTAAGTTTTGTACTAAATTTTTACAGAAACTCAACAAAAATTATAATAATTTTAAACACTAACTCAAACCTTAACTATATAGAAATCAAGATAATTCCAATAAACCTAACTCAACTTATCCTTAATCACATACTGTAGTTACTGGAATAGCGAATAAGTTTTATACCAAATTTTTTACAGTACCTTAGTATCTTATAATAAAAGTATGATAATTTCTATGCTAACCAATTCAACCTTGACTACATATATAATTTCGTTGGAATACCATACAGCACGGAACATAGTGTTATGGGTTAATCGGGTTCCCGGGAATTCGTAGCGCCGGCGTAATTAGGATCAGAATCATATAACGTGATTGTTTACATAAATAATGTGAAGTAGATTTGTATAAATTATTTAGCAATTAATAATAAAGAATCGCTCAAACAAATATACACTGTGTGGTCGTCTCTTCAAGTAGTTTTATAACTCCAGTCCAATACTATAGCTAAGTGAGTATATAGACCTGTGTGGAACTCCTATAATCTATATATACTTTGTCAATAGTACCCTCCTTAAAAAAATTTCATGGTGGAATGAAAATACCTGGGAATATTTCCTATGTAAAAAGGTTTTTAAAGTCATCACCTATAATACCCGGGTACTCAGATTTTGCCTGTGAATGTATAATACTATAGTCTGTGCTGTATATTAGTTATTAAGCTTTGTAAAAAGTTTTTTTTACAATAACTTATAATAAATGTCACGGTAATTCCAGTACAAACCAATCTATCCTAATTACATTCTATGGACAAAATAATAAGTAAGGTTTTAATCGAATTTTTTACGATAGCTTACAATATAAATTCAATACGTACTAACTAAACCTTAACTATATGCGATAATTCCAGTACAACCAACTCGACTAAATCTGTGTCGCTGAAATAGCGAATAATTTGAAAACAGAATTTACAGCAACTTACGATAACTCTAATACAAATTAACTTAATCATATACTGTGGTCGCTCAAGTGCTAAATCCTGTAATAGAATTTTTTACACTATCTCACCCATCAAAATCTTGAAGTTTCCAATACAAACTATCTCAATCAATTACATGTTATTGTTACTGAAGTAGCTTTGTAACAGAATTTTTTACAGTAACACTGTAAAAACAATGATTTAGTCACATACTACGGTCACTATAATAACAAGTTTAGTGACAGAATATTTTACAGTAATTGTAGAAATTATGCTGTATAAGATGGGTGGCACTCTGTGCCACCTATCGCACTAGTTGACTATAAATATGTCATATTATTTATGGATCACTTATAAAACCGCTCATAAAAAATGTATAACAAAATATATTAATAGTTTGATAATTAATAAGCGTATATTTTTATTGGCTACTTATATGCTGCACTATAAAAAATCCTGGGTCTAGATATTCTTGACCCGGCCGGGATATGAAAACCAAGAAATTTTTTTTATATCGCCTTATTTTGTTTCTTTTTTTTTATAAACGTAAAGTATAATATGTACTAAGTTTTTTTTAGAAACTTTGAATTATAATAAGTTCATTAATTACAATAAAAATTGGCCAAGTAATTTTCAATTGGTGAAATACTGCGCATTATATAACTAACAACCAAAGTTTTTTATACTGTATAATTAGTAATATAATTAATATAATTATCGGTATGCCTAATTAATTTTTTGATTCAGAATTTTAAAACAGAAAATAGGAAGTAAATTATTTCATGAAATAATATTTTTATTTATGTTTTAAATTGATCAATCCTAGGTAAAAATTCATTAGATTGGATTACAGGCATAATACATGCTATGGATGCAAGCTAATTGTGTTTTAAAACATAGCCCTAACGAAACATATTTGTCTTGATGAAATTCAAAATTGAAATCTAAGACTACGAATGATTAAATAAACAATTGTCGTAATAAAAAAAATTCTAATAACTATATGAACCCATTTAATTTAGATATTCCCTTTTTAACTGCATCAATTGCATTAATTAATTTTTCAGCGAACTATGTTTTGATTCTACACCCGCATAATCGTAATACAATTATTTTTACGGGCGGAAATGGACTTTTCCCGGATCGGATATGTGTCACCACCAATGTTACGGGGAATATGGATTCCAACCAAATTGAACTAACACCAGGAAAGTAAATTAAAGCAACTCGCCAGAGGCGTGGCGTTAGTGATTGTCGTATCATCTGGAATATTCTTGAGAGAGGGACTTATAATCGAGTTAGTGGGCCTATGTGCCCCTACCTCGCACATAAGTGTCGTAACCAACCTTACCCAAGTTACGTCCTTTAAATAACTTTAAGAGGACTATAGAAGCTTAAACATGACTCACCTTTATTTTTGATGGCTCATCATTATCGTAATCTTCAGCCGATCAACTTCATATGTATTCCAACCCTTTTACATCATCTAAACCTTATGCCGAGTCGGATCTTCAGAAATGTCATCCTGTGACAGTATCATGATGAATGCCTGAATAAAGCTTCGAATACGCGTTGGTTTCCAAACCACAAGAGAAATAATGCTTACTAAGAGAAAAATAAATAACGAAGTTTTAATACGACTGGTATTGTTGCAAGTTAATGACATGTATGTGCATTGGTTGTAACCACATTAAACATCATAATCGTTTTGAATATTTTTGATCCACATAAAATATAAAAACAAAATAAGCAAGCAACCTAAATATGGTATAGAAAAATATCAAAGGTATTTAGTACCTTCGTCTCCATGTCCAAATCTTATAAATCACGAAGAAGTTCTTTCAACATCTAGAAAATTAAACGTAATATAAAATTATTATCAACTATTATTCTCAATTTATTTAACGACTAGCTTATAAATTAAATAGTAGGATGAATATACCAACCGTTTTAAAAACATCAATATGTGAAACATCCAAATCAACTATTCTTGATGCAAATACTGAAATAACGGGAAGGCTTTGAATACGCATATCTACGGTAGAAGAGATTCATAAAGCATCTTACCGAAATGGATCGTTATAAATTTTCATACCTCACTCGTCTCTATAAAGCTTTGAATTAGATTATAAAAATAAAAATAAAACTTTATAATAATTAAATCCCGAATACTCTTACCTGATCTTTTAAATAAAGCAGTAATTTTCTTCTTCGCCTAGGAACCAGTTTTATTTTTTACATGTCAAAACCGATTACGACCGGTTTTAACATATAAAAATAAATCTCAGTTTCATATGTTAAAAGACAAAAGTACAATTAATCCTCTATTCTGACTTTAAAAAAAATCAAGTAAAGCAAAACTAATTTAAACTACGGTATATATTTTAAATATATATATATTTTGGTATTAAAAAAAAAAAGACAACAAAAAAATTATTCGTACTAAAAAAAAAACTATGACTATTAATGAGAAGAAATAAAAAAATCACATTCTTGTGCTTCAACCAAAGACCGCCTCACCCTGGAGGACACGCCCCGGCCGGGTCGACTGCCTACTCACCTTTGCAGGTGGGGTTATCTCGCCGTTATTCCACACAAGAATGATCAATATTTTGAATAATTTGAATAATTTCTTAAAATTTTTCTTAAAACTATTATACATAACTTTGTTACATCGGCGCTCTCCAAAAAATAACGATAAAGATTGAGATTTAAAAGATTATCGTTTTTTATACTGTACTATATTTGTCTGAATCATATGATAATCGTTAGTCATGGCAAAAAAATTTACCGTTCTGATTGGACGAAATCGACGATCCTTAATAACAATATTATATAATTTTTTCCAAATTTGAGCGAAGATATCCCCGTAACTACCGATCAAAATCAAAAAAAAATTTACCTACTTTAATTCTATGAATCCATAGATTAAAATAAAAAAATTTTCCCGATTTTGGGATAGGTAGTTATCGAAATACCATCGCCCAAAACTTAAAAAAATTAACCGCAACAAAATTGGGAGCGACGATCAAAAAAATTAGGCCGGAATTACTCGGAATTTTACTAATGAAATCATAGCGATAGCGCCCAAAATTCTACTTATAGTTAGTGTCATCTTATTCTATCATCATTTTTATTACTTCTTAATTTGGTATAGTTTGTGGTATAGTTGGATGATTGAAACCCTGAGCGAGGATAATAACCCTAGAGCTGTTACCCGGGTCGGCTGACCCGTACCTGACGGGTTACAGGTTGAAAATTGCTTTGACCCGGTCTTACGGCTTTGGGAGAGACTTGCGTACTTCGGTACCAATTTAGCTTTGAGCCGTGAACATTAGGGTATTAAACGAATGTAAGTTTTATATTGTTGGGAGATATTATATTTATTATGTATAAGAGTAACATCAACGTTATGTGTGTTATCTTCATTATAACGACCTTATTTATACAACTATCTAAAACTACCGATTACAATAATGAGGTAAGAACTACGGCTATTTACAAAGAATGTGGTAATTGATACTGAACGTTCATTGAATGTAATCATAAAGAAAAAATATAAAGATAGAAAAGATGATTGAAATATCATGTGAAAACCTGACGGAGTTTTCTAGACCAATTTCAGCATGCTAAAGATTTGAGCTGCTAGCGCCTGTATGACTTCTTTAAACACCACATTGCTTTAAAATTTTATTATTGCTGTATCAAAGCCTGATCTATGTCTCAAGTCATGCTCTACCATGACACAAGTTGTCAATAATAATGGCTTAATCTGGAGATACGACTTTATAAGCCAATTTAATTGCAGTAGATGAAGCTTATTGGCTTTGGTCAGCTTGGTTCCATTATGCAGCCAAAACCGGTTTCAGATATGTATTAACAGCTCTGAAGAACAGTTGTTGACAAAATCCATATTAGGTTGATGCAATTCCGAAGGACGATAATAATAAAAAAATATAAAAAAGCCCATTTTTTATGACGCGTCATTCACTTTAATTGAGACAAAAACCTGTTCGTTATGGTTAAACAAATCTTACAGTATACTATATACAGAATTTCACATTTCATTGCACTTAAATGCATTATCCTAATAATTTTGTGACGTACGCACGGTACAAGAAATCTAAAAACCACAATTATACCTTATAAAGACTAAATACAACATTGAAATCCTAAATATTTACATCAATAAAGTATATATGCAAATACTTTTTATTGAAGTCGATAATTTAAAAAATATGAATTTTAATGTATTACTTGATTAGGCCACGCAAAGTTGATTTTTCGTTTTGCATTACATGGATTTCAAATTAGGGACGGACGGACGGGGGGTTTTTTTTTTTTTGTATTTTTTTTTTTTTTTTAATTCAATTGCAAATAGAATTTTTCCTGTCAGTCCTATCGGACAATTACGGGAGATTAAGGTCTCGCCGGGTGATACCGGATGAAAATAGCCGGGAAAAATAGATGTCAAAAATCGAACAATTGGCATAATTGGGATCTAAAAAAAAAAAAAAAAAAAAAAAAAATTGAAAAAATGGGACGGCGGGTAATGCAAAACGAAAAATCAACTTTGCGTGGCCTTATCTGCTTGGGATAATCTGCAACCTATAATCAGGTTACGGTTCTACCACAAAATCCCAAAGCCATTTTCCTGAAAGAACATAATACTGACTACATTTTAACTAATGCTGGCTAACTTTGTCGGTAGGTCCTTTCGGGAACCTGTCTTTCTGGATTTTGTGGTAAAACCTAAGTTATAAATTATCGACTTTCAATAAATTTAAGTAATTAATTTCACTTTTATATTTGTCTCTATAAAGTGTAATTGTGGTTTTTAGATTTTTTGCACCGTACGTTAGAGTGTGTAACGGTCTATTAAAATCAAACATAGGCAGGGTTAATAATGATCATCACTAATTGCGGATTTTCTAATGGAATTTTGGTCTTACCGATAGTTAAAATCCCGACGCTCAAAACCCCGAAAACAAAATCCCGATAGTATCAAAAATTGCTTTCGATGTCAGAAGTTTCGCAAAAATTGACCTGACTGAGTAATAGAAACCAATTTATTAAGTTTGTATGACCTAATATAATTGATATTGTAAATCGAATTATATACACATTAATATGAGTATCGCTCTAAATAAAATTACATTTTTTGAAATAAATAATTAATTAATTAATATGTTATTTTTTTAAAAAAAATTGAAGCTCTAAACCAGCTTTACACTGGAATAGAGCTATATTTTTAATCTTTTTTTAAAAAAAAGTAAAAAAAATACTAATAATAGAAAGCAAAATCACTATTTATTAGTGTTCTAAATATTTTTATAAAAATATTAAAAAAATAGCTCTATTTCAGTGTAGAGCTAGTCTTTAGGTTCAATTTAAAAAAAATAGTATTCTATTTAGTTAATTATTTATTTCAATAAATGTAATTTTTGTTTTAATAAGATTGATATGTGTGCATCGATACCCATAAAAAATCCGCAATTAGTTGTGACCCTGCCTATGTTTGATTTTAATAGGCCGTTACACACCCTAACCGTACGTACATCACCTATAACCAGATATATATAGCGTCGTTCCTAATAAATAAGTAAGTATATTCTAAAATAAAAGTTTTCATTGTTCTGTTTCAACTGTAGTTCCTTACATCAATATCGTACAATCTGAAATTATCGCTTTGCACTCTACTGTAGGACTTAGGTAGCACACCCACAAAAATTGCCCCGCAATTTTTACTAATAAAAACGTTGCAGTTTGGGTTAGGGTTAGAATGATAGAGGTTCTATTAGTAAAATTTCACGAGGAACAATTTTAATTAGGCCACAGAAGGTGGTTTCTTAATTAACCCTAGGTGCCGCACAAAAAATGTGTGGCAGATCCTCAATTTTGATTAGCTAATGGCCGAGGATCTTCAAAAATTTGACTGCATTACATAATTATTTACTAATTTCCGGCCGGAATTAACTTTTTAATTTTTTCATTAAAAAATAGTAATTTCTAAAAAACAAACCCCTTTTGGTAAAATTGGCGGCTGCGATTTCGTTAGTAAAATTATGAGTAATTCCGGCCTAATTTTTTGATGGTCATTCTTAGCGTGGGTGCGCTAGGGGGTTCTACAATAGGGTAGGGCTGTGAAAAACGCATATCTGAAAAGTTATGTCAGTCATTAAGTCAAAAGAGTGTAAACTTTAGGATATAGTGCAGGCTTATTTATTTAATAATTGATATTTAAAGACACATATATATGTAAAATTTCGTACTAAAATTTTTATTTAAAAGTCAACCTGTAGTTGGTATAGTGAAATCTTTGGTTTCTCGATTTTTTTTTCGGGATGTTATATTACACTTGCTCCTATGATTTTATATTCAGATATGCGTGGAAGATGCATCAAGTTAGATCTAAGCATTTGTTTTCAAGCATTTTCACTTTCTTTTCTTTTTTCTTCTTTTGCAAGTGTTCAGATTCTATATCGGCTGATCCAGAATGGTGATTGGCCATTTCCTTTTTAGGAGTTTTTTCACTTGCTAAATTAATTTTTTGCACGGATCTTAAAAATTCTTTTTGTCTTACTGCGGAACTGCCGATGCAAAAATGCTGTTCTCTTTCCATTTACCATTAGAATGCCTTTTCGAAATTTTCAAATATCTCGATCATAATATCTTATTTACCTGCCTTCTTGTGAATCATGAATGGTGTAGATTTATTTTGCCAATATTATGGAGCAACCCTAATTTTGAATGCTCCAAAATTATTAGGACATTACTTTTAAGATTAAATTCAAATGAAAGGGCATTAACCGCTTCTCAAATTTTAATCCCTCAAGATGCTCCAAGGTTACTTTTTGACTATTCAAGCCACATAGTTACCGTTTCCAGCGATGATATAAATAATGGGATTAATAATTGGCTTAAATTTATAAAAAAAGCGAAGAAATCTTCCTCTATGATTATAATTCCTTTGATATTGATGATTTTACGAACTAGTAAAAAACTTAGAAATTTAGACCTGGACG